TTAAAATTTAACTTTTTGATTATAATAAATTACAAAGTAATTATACAAACAACTTTATTAGAATATAAAAAGAAAGTGTATTAAATAAAATTAAAGATGTTTTAAAAAAAAAATAGACAAAAAAAATTTTTTTAAAATATTTTATTTCGTTTAATTTGATTGGTTGACCTAAATTTTATCAGGTCGGATCATAAGCTTGACCCGACCTGATATTGACCTGAAAATTTGTCTACCTGACCTAGATTTTTCAGGTCAGGTCGGGTCAGGTTACAGGTTGACTTGACCTGATTCGGAGCTCTAAATATATTTATTGTTTTTTTTGAAATGTTAGAAGTTAATCAAATCTTTTTATTTTTAACATATTATGAGAAGGATTTTCATTAAATGCAAACTTTTCCATAAATCTTAATACAAAAATAGAAACCTATTTCAGTATTGAATCACTCTTCGGAAAAAGGCAGATATTCTAACATCCATGCTTTTGTTATTTTTCTTCTAATAATACTGATTACTTTTTTATCACATAATTAAGGGAATCCTTTGCTAATAGAATGTATTGTGCAAATCAAAGTTAATTTTACAGGTATGATGAATTTTTTTTGAGTTTTTTTTTTCAAAAAATAATTAGGAAAAAAAAGAATTCTTTTATTTTTTTTATTTTCATTTAAATAAATAATTAATTAAATAAAAAAAAGGAATGGGAAATTTCTTCAGCATTCTAGCAAAATCATTAGTATTTACGTGTCTTTTTTTTGAATTTTATTTTTTTTGAGTAATTGAAGAAAAAAGAGAATATTAACAACAAATACATTTTCTAAATTAGCGTTCTCGAATAGACTTAGTTCAATTTATCTCATTTTTTTTTCTCATGATTAATTCTCATGCTTAAAAAGGGAGTTTGTTTACGTAAACAAAAAAAAGTATATATTAACCTGCTGTTCATTGTAGGCTTAAAGCATATGCCTAAAGCTTAAAGCTTAAAGCTTAAAAATCAATATATGATATATTATTTTCATACAAGTACAAGGGAGTATATATATAAAGCATATAAGCCTTAAGCTGTAAAAAAGGCGAAAAGGTTAAGCTATATCCGGATATTGAGACTAGCCGAATGTTGAATTTCTTGGTAAGTACGATATCTTCAAAAATTGCAGATCGCATTCATTTTAGGCAAAGCATCAAGGTACAAGCTTTTCGGTTTTCTTTTCTTTAGGCGAATTAATTATTTGGGTGTCACCTTACGGAACATAGTAAATCAAATTAACCGTAAGGTGATTTTAACCCAAACAGCGAAACTTGAACTAGTTATTACTAACCAGATTTATGCTACTTTGATTCATTTTTTAATATTAAAATTAATTAATTTAGTTCAATATTTCGATTTCTTATTGGTTAAAAATGTAAAAACAACATTTTTATTTTTGAAAACCAAATACAAATTATTTAAATATCTGTAGTTACGAATAAAGTGCTCATTATCAAATATTACTACCGCGTTTAACGTTTAAACGAGATTTTCTATATTCGACCTTAGTTCGATCAAGACAACAATTAGAACTTGCGAAAAAATTTAAAAAATACAAATCATAAACTCGGCGATAGGTTAGATCTTCCGCTCATTTATTTGTCCGGAGTGTAGTACCAATTACAGTAGATTTCTCGAATAATTTTTAAAAAAGGAATAAGAAAGTCCGATCTTATTGAAGATCTACCCTAAAAAATTCAATCTTGTCAAAAGGACGCCTGAAAAAAATTCAGAGTTAGATGAAATTTTAGAAAAAAAGATTTAATAAATTACATTTATAAACTCACACAAAGGATGGTATTGATGGGATATTTGAAGAAATCAATTTTTATAGATTGGAATTCCCTTATGTTTGTACTGTAAAAAGAATCGAAGATGATAAAATTTTGTAGCAAAATATTTGTTATACTTTAGGAAGGCTGCTTTCGATTGTAAATATAGTAACTATGATCTTAGAATTGTAACAAACTTCCTGACTTGCATATCAACAACAACTTTTCTTTAAAAAATTAATTTTAATATAATTTAAAATGATCTCTGCTAAATTGATGTTCAGGGCTCAGTTGTCAGACAATGGTTAGAATTGTTAGAATTACACTTGCCTTTGACCTTCATCGGCTTTACCATACTGCATGAATTTCATGATGATACTGCTTTTATTGGTTTGAAAATCCGCAGCATTATGCTCTGAGTTATTTATCTTGAAACTCTTTTTGAAAGTAAGTAACCTAAGAGAGTATATCTATAATATGTTTCGCCATGGGTTAGAGTTAGATTGGTTTCTCATTATCTAATCCAAACAATTATGCATATAAATTGACAGCTGATATTGTTAACTAGCCAATGATTTCGTCGATCTTTCTAAATCATAAAAAAAACTCAGGCCACTTTCTTTGTTGTAAACTGCGGTTGCATAATTTGTGCATAAAAAAAAATAAAAAAAAATATTGCATCACATGATGATAGATCCGCGTTTTTGGCGATATTTATTTAAACTTTTTTTTTTTGTTTTTATTTTCTTCCGAAAAAAACCATGTACTGTACATTATTATCATTGTGATTATATTATAATATAAAACTAATAGACTAGAAATAAAATTATTTTCTCATTTATTTTTAATTTTGAAAGTTGTTTGCTTTTTTCAATACCTTAAAAACTGCTTCCAATATTTTTTTTAAAAAAAAATATCATATCGTAAAAGATGGTAACAAGGATAAGCACAACTCAAGCAACGGCTCCCATCTTGGGTTCAAAGTTATCACTCGATCACATTATGATTTATGCACTTCAAGACATGGTCGTTAGGATTAGACCACAAAAAATGGAGACACTTAAAACTACACACGTACCATGGTATCTTGAGAGGTATTCATCCTTGAGTTTTTTGATTTTTCATTTATCTTCATTCTTTATATGTTTATTAATTGTCATTTCATTTATTAACCTTTGAAGGTTCAATCAAGGTAGATTAATATGTCATCCGACACCGTTGTTAAACCTTGATTGTATCATCAATATATTAGAATTTCTAGATGATAATCCCGATACTCTTTTCGCATGTGCGCTAGTTAATCGAGGATGGTGTAAAATTGCGATTAGCATCTTATGGCGTGATCCTTGGAAATATAAACGAAGTTCTCAATTACTAAGAAATAAGAAAATTCAAATGATTTCTATATTCCTTGAATCATTACCACAACATTATTTAAATACATTAAACGAAAATAAGATTGAAATCCCTATAGTGCCAAGAAAAACATTATTTGATTACGCCAAATTTGTACGTTACATAAGAATCCGTAGCTTAGAATGGCATTTAACAAAGTGGATTCAACATAACGTAGGTCGCAGTATCAGTGAAAGGAACCCTGATTTAAAAAGGAAGGTTTCAATTATCGTACAAGTATTGTTGGAACATATTTTTAGATCAACGCCAACCATATATGAATTGATTGTTAATAGTGATAATTATACCTCAGAATCTTTAACATCAGCTATAAGAAATGTACCCGAGGTAAATATTTCCTTAGCCAGTGTCAAAACCTTCACATTTGGTAAAATACTTACTTCGATGCCAAATATATTCGAAACTCTTTCAACGATTTGTCAGAGAATTAATAAATTGGAGATTTGTCCATCACAGGATGTAAAACATACGGCTAGATTAATTAGTAATCAAACGAATTTAAAATCGCTCACACTTGTAGATAATTCTAAAAGATCAAATCATCGTAAAACAAAAAATATAACATTTGCTTGGGATAACGAAATATTTAAAGAAGTGTTATATAAAGCTGATACTATAACTCAACTCACTTTAAAAAACGTTTGTTTATCCTTGAAGGAATTGAATTACTTTGAAAATTTGGAAGAATTATATCTTACAAATTATATGGGAAACATTTCTCAAGAAAATTTTCAGGACTTGACAGAAATATCCCTAAAAAAACTTTTAAAGTTTTCCTTTATTTCTTTAATTTCAGAAATTTATTTAAAAAATCTTTGTAAATTTATAAAAAATTCTAAAGAATTGACACATCTCAAGATTCAAGGATATAATTGGCATGACCCTGATTATTCTATCACATGGATAAATTCCTTGGCTAAAAATAATCGAAATCTCATCTCTTATGAGGGACCTATTGGAGCAGGTGATGTGGTTGCATTGTGGATACTCTTGGATTCTTGTACAAATCTACAGAAATTACACCTACAATGTACAAGATATAATTTCTACGCTCTCGCTCCAAATTTAGATTTAAAAAGTTTTGATAATATACTTCGAGAACTTACCAGAAAACAACCTTTGGCTTTGAGAAAATTAATAGTGGGAAGAGGATGGTCTCTTTCCTCTAAAGGAGTTGAAAAGTTCATAAATAGTAGAAAGAAATTATCCTTGCCGATTAGATTTGAATGGAATCCACATACAGAAATTATAGGAGATTTGACTGAATTGATTAAGAGATATCGTAGTTCAACTAAGGTTCACTCATATCAAACGGAACATTATTTTTAGTGAGAATCTAATTAAACTACGTGTCGTGGTTAGGGTTAGTTATTATTTATCAGTTTTACCAAAGACTGAAATTTTTGGTTGTGAATATTGATTTTTTCAAAAATGTGATATTTTAAAATTTTTCTTCAAAATAAAATAAATTAACTTTGGAACATCGTAACGTCCATATTTGGATAAATTGAACCAAAATAAGGATATTTTATTGATGTCAGAAAGAACAAGACTTTGATCCATTAATGAAATATTTTAATGGAATAATTGATTAGTTTCTACCTTTGATAAAATTATAATCCAAGAGGTTTGAACAGAGGATTTTGATTCTCAATATTTCGAGATGGATTTCAATCTCTAAGGGTTTTATGAACTTTAAGCTTGTGTTGCTGTTATAAGACCTCAAACATGACGTGTAAATTACAAAATTTCCATTAAATAAGATTAGAAAGTAACGGATTGCAAAAAATAAAAAAGGAAATTCTAATGTTAGTCAACATATTTCTCGAACTTATAAACTTATAAATTTATGCGCAGATTTTATCACGTGACATAATAGTTACAAAAATTGTTTTTACCCTTAATATATACTGTATATATATATATATGTATATTTTACATTTTAAATTATAAATTTATTTACAAAAAAAAAAATTTTTTAATCTGCTTTTAATTTTCCTTCGATTAAAGAAGCCACACTATTAACGATAAAACTAACCACCGACCAACAAGCCCACACAGCAATCAAAATCAAACTCAATAATAAAGTTAATACAGTTCCGTATACATCTAAATATTTTCCTCTGATAAAACCCATTCTGGTATCAGGTGTAATCCATTCTTTTAATAACCATTCATAAATGTCTTCTATTATAGGTTGTTCGGGTGGAGAAGAATTGTAAACCGTTTCATAACTCGTTTCTCCGCTGTTTTCATTGTTACTTTCTTTTTCCGTAGATTTTTTTCCTTCATCATTATTGGGCACATTCTTATCAACACTTTCTTTAACAATTTCATTCCCATCATCGTCATCATATTTGAACTTTTTTGGATTTAACTGAGAAGCCTTCATAACAAATTCAACTAAATCAGCAGCCCTATATTTTCTTTTACTATTGATTTTTGCCAACACTTGCATTCTTTTTAAATTAACCTTAACTCTAGCATCCAACTGTAAAAATTCGATTTTTCTTACAATATCATCCATGATTAAATTTTTTTTATCAAGCTTAAGCGCAATACCTTGTTCTTCTAATTTCTCGGCATTAGAAAATTGATCAAAAGCAAATGGTAATATTAACATAGGGGTGCCTGTATATAATGACTCGTGACAACTTGACACTCCTCCGTGCGTTAAGAAAACTCTCGTATTTGCATGTTCAAGGATGGATACTTGTGGTGCTAATCCTGACGATGAATTTGTAACGTAAATATGTGTGTATAGGTTATGAAGTATTTCTGATGTATCTAGTTGTGTTTCATCTGATGAAGATATTGTTGAAGGAAAATCTTCGAGACCTGATAATGACCAAATTATTCCATCTATAATGTTTCTATCTATCGCTTCTAATATGGATTGTAATAATATTGCGTAATTTTCCGGTGTCGTGTAAACTTGTGTGCCAAAAGAAACATACATAATTCTTTTGTGTGATGATAAGAATGATGAAATTTCTGGAGTTATTGGTGGATATGAATCTTGCATCACTGGTCCAATTTCCTGATTAATCATTTAGAAGGATTAATTAACGTTATTATTAAATAAAGTTATTTTATTAAAGAGAGGAATTTTACTTACTTGATAAAGCGGAGGTACAGGATGTGGAATCTATTGGATTATAAAGTTAAGAATTATTGATCAACCAAATCATCCAATTAAAAATTCAAATGCCATATACCTCAAATCCAAAGAAAGTATCGGCCAAGAATAAAGAATTTTTAATCCTTTCCAAAGAACTAGATATTGGAGATACACCGACTGAAACTCTTTTCTCATTTAAAGAAATAATCCTTTGCCTAGATTCATAAAGAAATCTAGCTGGTCGTATAATCAAACATTTAAATCTTTCAATAAACGATTCATTCTCCATATTTGAATGACATCCGTAAATTGGATCTGATTTATATGGAGCAAAAGTTCTTCCTAAAACGCATCGATTTTATTTAGGATAAAATTTCAGTTCTTTTTCGTTAAAAACAAAAGGTAATACTTACTACTTAAAGAACTACTTATACCAACAGATGGTATTTTAAATTTCCAAGCAACATCAAAACAAGCTTCATTATTTAATAAATCACATAAGAGTAAATCGGGTTTAAAATCTATTGTAGATTGTTTATAAATTTCATATCTTTCTAAATATTGGTTATCCGCCTCATCTTTTTCCAAAAAAAATGAATTGTAATCATATGGCTTTTCAAATATTGGTTGATATATAGATGATAATTCTTTTGTGTTATGTTCTGGACCTGTAGAATATTGTTTAATTGATGGATAATTTGCATGTGAAGTAAAATTTCCAGGTGCAACCAATGCTACCTATGCAATTCAAGAGGAAGGAATGAAGCAACGGCGGGAAAAATGAAAGGGTTATTTCGGTTTTATCAACGTTTCTATACATTTGAGAATAACTCTCGCTTACTTTATATCCACGCTCTATTAAAATTTTGCAAATTTCCAATGATGGTCTGAGATGACTTAATCCTACATAAAAACAGAAACTCTTTTATTAAAAGTCACAACGAATAAATCACATGATATACACATCAAATTACCTCCCACGAATGATCCAACAAGTATATTTTTTGGTTCCTTAGCATTTTTATCAATTTCAATTTTGCTTTGAGTAAACTGTTGCTTATTATCAAGTTGTGATTTTCTAAAAGGCCACCAAGATGTTTTCGTTGGCTTTTGCGATGCTGTTTTTGAAGATGAGTCACCTCCTTTTATATTGTCTGATGATGATGATGCGTTTACTCCAATGGATATTAATTGAGTTAAAAAAATAATTACTAATATTAAATATTTTGAAACCATTTTTTGAAAAAAAAAATTAAATTATAATCTTTTTTATATTTAACTAAATAGATAAAAAATTTTATTAGAAAGATAAAATAAATAAAAAGAGGTAATGAAAAAAAACAATTCGAAGAAAAAAAAAGGCTTTTTATATATGCATGTATATCTTTCTAATCATTACTTTTTATTGAACATCAAATTGTACACGTGATACGAAGAAAACCTCATTATGCCATATAACGTGACATTTAACAGATGTAACATTATAACGTTAGACGCGACTTTAAATTGAAAATTTTTAAATTCTAATAAAATCCTTCAAAAAAAAATATCCCATTATAAATTCAGAACAAAAAAAAATAATATTTCACTAAAAACAATGATTCTGAATTATCCACTTATATGATAAAAAAAAAAGAAAAACAAAAAAAGAAAATACAAACATAAAATATATAAATAAAAATTTTTTCTTTGTAAATAATTACAGCAAATTTCATAATTTGCTAACCATCTCTAAAAATTTAATTTTAATGTCTGAATACAGAAATTTTATAAATTTAAATTTTTGTACAATATCATATTATGACATAAAAAAGCTGAAACTTTGAAAATAATTTATATAACTTTCTAATGAAAATATGTTGATAAAATGGTTTGCATTTAAAATTATTATAGTATAGTTTATATTATAATCTGTTATATAAATCACAATATATGAAATATTTGAATTCAGACATTAAAAATTAAAATTTTATTTATTTAATAAATTTACTTATTTATATTAACCTTATTTAATACTTTAATTTAAAAGAATTTAAAAATGTGTAAGTTTTGAATTTATTGATCAACTAACTTTTTATTTATTATAAATCTTAACTTATATTAGTATTTATTTTAGCATTAAATTTAAATTTAAATTTTTAAATAAGTTGGTTTTAATTAATGTTTAATAATAATAAATTCATTTTTGTTAATTTGTAAATTAAATAATGAAATTAATTTGTAAATATTATAGATATTAAAATGATAAATAAAGTTTAATATAGTATAATATAACTTTTATATAATATTTATTGTAAACAGACCTATTAAGTGATCTCCAAATGAATTGAATGATCTATTATATTGATTTTAATTTAATTAATATAATTAATATAGTTAACATATTTGATATATTTAATATATTTAATTTATTTAATATAGTTCATTTATATAATATAATTAATTTGTCATTATTTCTTCGATTATATAGCAGGCAAATTTGCTTGCGAAATTAAAAAGTGTTAATTTCTTTATAAAATATTAAATATTAATTTTAGTAATATCATTATTATATAAAAAAGTTTAATATACAGTTAAACTTTAATATAGTGATCCCTTGATATAGTGAATTTTTAAATCAAATATATTAAAATTATCTTACTATAATAAACCAGTCAATTGAATTCTAAGCTTATAACAAAGTTGATACAATATCCTAAAGTTCATTATATCAAGAGTTTAGTAGGTTGCAATATATATATATTGCAACCTACTTACATTAAGTTATTACCTATTTATGATTATATTATTACCTACTTACTGTTTTTGATGTTCTATAGCTTTTTTATTGTCAAAATATTATTCACATGATTTCACCTTTCTGTATTCTTTTTATTATCTTGTAGATATTTGCTTGATTTTATTGCTCTGTCCTCTTTTTATTATCAAGAAATTATTCATGTATTTACAATATTTTGTACTCTTTTTATTACTAAAGAGCTATCTCTTATTTTTCTGCTTCTGGACCTGTTTAGTGGCCTGATAAGATATTGAGAATGCTTTTTTTTGCATCTACTTGATTGCCTATTAAAATTCTAAATTGTGATAAAAAAATGCATCAGGTGATATAGTAAATTTGCGTTTAATTTCAGCTGACACTATGTCATAATTTCAGACAATCTTTTAGGCATGTGATTTAGGGATGCAGCTTAGCGTCATAATAGTGCTA